TATGGTGATTAGACGTAGACCAGGTGCCATGTGGCCCTTTTCCCTATTCCTGGCCCCATTCCCCATTCCTGGCCGCATGCCTGCCCCCATTCCCCATTCCTGGCCCCATTCCCCATTCCTGGCCTCATGCATGGCCCCATTCCCCATTCCTGGCCGCATGCCTGGCCTCATTCCCCATTGCTGGCCGCATGCCTGCCCCCATTCCCCATTCCTGGCCCCATTCTCCATTCCTGGCCTCATGCATGGCCCCATTCCCCATTCCTGGCCGCATGCCTGCCCCCATTCCCCATTCCTGGCCCCATTCCCCATTCCTGGCCTCATGCATGGCCCCATTCCCCATTCCTGGCCGCATGCCTGGCACCATTCCCCATTCCTGGCCGTATGCCTGCCCCCATTCCCCATTCCTATAAGAAGTAAGAGGAGACCATCCAGTAACCTGCTTATTATCCTGTGGGACCTTGACCCACGGTTTCCCATACAAACAGAGCTTTTCTTCTATAGCAGGTGGTGTATTGCAACGTCATATACTGATGAAGTGAAATTGTTTCCATTGCTTAGTTGACTTCAAAGTTATGACTTGGTAAACAGTGCTGTGTTAGACTGTGTGTCATATTGATCTATAACAGAAACACAGTACAAATAATAAAACAAATTAACTATATGCAAAATAAGCACATTTTAAACAACTTTCCAGTTCCACAAAATGTAAATTTCTTATATGTAGCCATAATATAGTGGTGTTTGATGATGTTTCAGTTTCAGCTATTTGGGCATATGTCTAGAAAATGTGGATTTCAATTCCCTCTTTTAGTGTATAAACCTATCAATAACTTAGCTCTTGGATTTCTAAAATGACATTGTTTCCAGAGTTCAAATTTATTTTGGTGTTAAATGGATGCAGAAGATGTTTACCACCCTCTTGATTGAAATATGGGCTTGTCTGTTACTTATTTCCAGTCCAATCTTTATGAAGATATGATGTCCTGATATCTGGGTCACCATGAACCGGTTTACCACTCGGATATTGATGCCAGTGTGTCCCTTCAAGCAAGTCATAGTACTGATGAATCATCTACCTATTTGCCAGTTTCCAACATTCAGCAAACAATTGAGCCAAATCCGATGTTCGGATACAAAATGAACATGACGTTTTTTGAAACAATTTGGAACAAGAAATGTCATTAGTACATCAAGACCTCATATGCTTCTTTTTTTAATAGAACTTTGCATTAAAGAATAACAACAAATAAAAGCAATAAAAAACATTCACATTGTTGTCTAACAATCATCTGAAAGTTGTGTAGATGGAGGGGTGGTAACCCTTTCCGAAGGACGGAAACGATGAATTTTTCTGTTATGTCTTATAAATAAAATGTTTTTGGTGAAGGATGAATCAGATTAAAGAGCATTTACTGAGCTCAAGAGATACAAGGAAAGCATACAGACAAACTCAACAATTATTATAAAATTCTTATCTTTGTTTTCAAGTACGTGATGATTCTGTCTACAATACCTTTTCCTACAAAATACTTACATTCAGATAAAGCTCATTGTGCTTTATAGAGTGTTTTGTTTCCCATATCTTTATTTATTTGTTTATTTGTTTTCTTGTTATCAGTGTCTTTTGTGAACATTGGGGGTCTACCCATGTCCAACTTGGGAATGGCTGGATAAGGACTTTTTTAAAGTGGGAGAATGATTGTGAGTGAGTTGTAAAGTCATGAAATTTACAGCAAACTCACACTGCTCAGTCATCTCAAGTCAAACAGAGATGTTAAAAAACATCTTGCTATGTACAACATGAATTTATAAACAGAAAAGTTGCTGTACAGTGAAAATAGCCTGCAGGCAACTCACTAAAAACAACTAAAATAGTGAGAAAAAAAAGATTAAGATAAAGAGGAATGCTCTTCACTAGCATGACTTTCATGACTTTCAGATAGACTGATATATTTTGTCCAACTTTGGCCAATTAATTGTGTCCAGAGATGTCTGTCCAAAGATATTGCGGATGTGTAGGTTTCATGTGGTATTACCCTAACATGCAGGGTTTAGGATAGCAAGGGACAGAGGGAACAAACATATTACCAGGCCTTAGTGTGGCTGGACTTAACGTTACAGAGTAAATCGTTGTCACAATACAAGCCGAGGTCAGGGTAACAGAGAAATACAGAAAACGAGAACTTAGCCAGAGTCAGGTACACGGTAATCAGTCAGATGGGCTAACAAGAAAGGCAAGGGTTAAAGATAAACACAGAGTCAGGAAACAAAGCCAAGGTTAATACCAGGATACAATACAATAACTCAAGGAACGTACTAAAAGGTACTCTGAACAGAAACCATAATAGGGCACAGTATCTAGGGCCAGGTACGTTTAAATAATAATGGGTTTCATTTGATTGGTCCACGTCAGGCCTGCTCCCCAAAATGTGCGTGAATGGGGGCGCTGGAATGACATGGGCCAATGGGAGTCAACCATGAGGTTAGACTCCAATTTCCCCTTTAAGAATGGGTTTGTGACGTGAGCAGCATTCTTAATACTGTACGGGCCACGCGCCCTGTCAGAACCTCGGGGTGCATGGCCCGCCAGGAGTGATTGAGCCAGCGGAGTACCCCTGCCAGCACACGGCTAGATACGTACCACTATGCCACTTGTATGTTATTTATCAAGAGGGACAAGAACGCAGTAGTCAGTGTGACATCTGGCAACAGAGCTACTACAGTAGGCTATTGTGATTATGGTACTTAAAGCGCCCTTTTAAGGAGCAGGTTTATGTATGACCTGAAACTGAACAAGGAATAGAGCAGCGTTAAACAAACTAAGAACACTAGGATGGGAAGCAGCACACATGATAATAGGGGAATCCCTCCAGCCCCCATGAAAACTAGAACAAGTCAAACAACAATATACAGGTAGCGCCAAGAATAATACTCCACAATAGTATATGATAATAAGAACAATAAAATTAATAATCTTTTTTACCAATTGAGAAAGCCCTAAGGGGAGAAGCGCATTGGGGTTTTTATGTTGTTGTTAAAATAAAGTATTTTAGCTACCTCCCTACCTGCCTTTTAGCTATATATTTTTAGAACTTATTATTATTTATGTTTATTATTATTTATTTTTATACTTTTACCTGACATTTGGACCCATCACCTACTGTGGACAACCAACCAAAGAAATCCTTGGTGGGGATTATACCACCCAGGCTTGATACATAGAGCAGTTAGTCTGCTCACTCTCTTGTAAGTATATTTGCATTTATCTTATTGATACTTATCTTTCTATATAGAGAGCACTAATGGCTGTTTTTTTGTCATTCCATATGTTATCCAGTTGTGATTTACCATCATTCTACTGTGTACCAAAACCAGAGAGATACCCTGCAAGTGGGGATTGTTTACCACTGCATGCTGTTTTACCTAGAGCTGGTTATAGCTCCACCATATGTGAGTTGACATCTTATCTAAGTGTCGTTTGTCCTAACACATACTACCATATTGCACTATTGGGTTGCCTCTGTTTTTGCTTCCTTTTCAAATTCTGCTATTAAGCGAAAATACCAAGAAAGTCCCAGACCAGGACTAAAAGATCTATTGCCACCTTTGAGACTGTGCTGTACCATTTGGTATTTTATTATTTTAAGTTTTATTATGGACTCTTTTTATATCCTGTGGGTTTTTTATTGCTCTTATTGATTTTATTGTTCTTCTTATTATATACTATTGTGTTTGGAGTATTTTCTTGGCGCTACCTGTATATTGTTGTTTGACTTGTTATATATGACCTGGCACATATCTATAATGTCAGTTAACTCTCTGTATAGATGTGCTAACAGAGAGCACTAGACAGAGGAGTCACATGCATATCTCAACTGCCTGTCAATGACGTATAACTGAAACTAGAGTGATGCTCTTTATTCTTCAAATTCCTTGGAGACGTGTTTTTCATCCTCCAGAACCTACAATCCCTTGGCAGAGGTGTTCCCTGTATTCAAGGGAAGTCAGAGAGAGGAATGTCGAGTCCAACTTTCTGCTATATAATAGTCTCGCTTCACTAGTATATAAAACCATAACTGGAAATAGATAACCCTAGAGCCAACTAGAGACACATACCTTAAAAGGCTCTGCTAGGTGAGCTATAGATAAGGGATACCAAACAATAATGATAAGGGGAAGAGCATAATAATACATTATACATTTTTATAATAAAATAAAATCACTTCTACTAAAATCTTTTTATATAGTGACCTTTATCTACATAGGGAGATATATTTCCTATTTATGACATTATGGCTATATTCCAACTTCTTTTTCAATATACCTGTATAATCCGAACATCGGTTTTGGCATATATAAGACAATTGTGAAAGCTGCATTTCCAAAAATGGATGAATCTAAAAACACATTGAGGTATGTAGTTGAGCAATTTTAGAGATTTGGTGCTTAGAGTGCTTGTCTCTTATTTGGGCACTTTTACAAAACACCTCTCACACTTCTGAAATTATACAAGTAACCTGTTAATGATTTCAATGGGCTAAATTCCTCTGAGCGTTTAAGTGTTTGTATTCATACATTCCCATCATGAGCTCTTATTATGAATACAAGTTTATGTCACATTTCAAGTTAACACTTAATAAATTCAGATTAATAAATAACACTGATGAATAATTGCCGTTTTCTTAGTAATTTCTGTTAACTTGTTCAGTTTATCTTTTCAGCTTCTCTTGTGAAACATTGACATTTTGATTATCAGTATAGGTTGTTGTACTTACTTTTGCAAAGTATGGAGACGAATTACAATCTCAGACCTGCAAATTCTCTGCCAATCCCTTAATTTCATTCAAATTCAAATAAACTCAAAGTTGTCACCGTGACTTTCTTCACTAATCAGCAAAGGTATTTTCTTAAGATTAATGGAATTTCTATTTAAAACCAAAAACTAATTTCACGCAGAATCAGAGTATTTTGGAGAATGGTGAGTTTGTCAAAGGCTTTCCTCTAGATCATGGGTACTCAAACTCCGCCCCCCCCAGATGTTGCTGAAATACAACTCCCATGATTCTTTGAATTACATAGATAGCCAGAGAATCGTGGGAGTTGTAGTTCAGCAACATCTGGGGTGGCCAGAGTTTGAGGACCCATGAGCTAGATAATTGTGACTCCCCTTGACTTTCAGATATAAAATGTGTTACTTAAAGGGACATTGTCACTTTTTTTGTTATTTGAAATAAAAAAAATCTTTACTGTATTGCAGTCTCTGTGTGAATTATCTTAACCCCTTAAGGACACATGACAGAAATATTCCGTCATGATTCCCTTTTATTCCAGAAGTTGTGTCCTTAAGGGGTTAAACAAACGTACGTGTGTACGTATATACATACATACATACATGTAAATACCTCTTTTTAGGATATCTCGTCTCTGACTCTTTTTTATGGGGGCTCCCATATTTCAGTCCTTTTAAACAGGAAAGGAACAAGCACGGTTTTAAGTCGAAAATAAGGGAGGCAGATAATCCCAAACTTTTTTTAAAGGTGTTAGTTACCTAGTTCGCAAAGCTTTAAAAACAATGGAATTTGAAGAAGAACATCCAGAATAAAGTAAAAAGTAATAAAGGAAAAATGGAAATATGTAGTTTAGCTTTTGTTTGAAAGTGTCTATACCTGTTTTGGATAAATAAAGAGCTATTTGGCTAAATAAAAAGATTGTTCTAGGGTGAGGCTAGATTATTTAAATAGACTAGTACACACAGATGTAATAATATAGAAGTACTCAATGGAAACTGAGTGCAGTCAGAATGGAGGTCATTAGACTCTGCCACTGGAATACCGGGAAAGAAAAATAATGCCAAAAGTTGCCCCCTATATTCTTTATGTTATCTCGGGACTAGCCTTTAACAACTATACTGTGCAACACGATGTCCATGCAGGAGTCACAGTGTTAAAGGAACACTATTGTTACCAGAACAACTACAGCTTAATGTAGTTGTTATGGTAAGAATAATCATTCCTTGCAGGCTGCTTTTTGCAGTAAATAATGTCTTTTCAGAGAAAAGGGCAGTATTTAAATTACAACCTAGGGGCACCTCCAGTGACCACTCCTCAGATGGCTACTAGATGTGCTTCCTGGGGCAATGCAGCACAGGGTACAGCACTGTCATTCAGTGTCTCCATCCTCTGCATGGAGACACTGAACCTTCCTCATAGAGTTGCATTGATTCAATGCATCGCTATGAGAAGATGCTAATTGGTCAGGGTGGTGTTTGCCCCGTCCCCTTCTTGGCTGAGATCGTTCCAAATTGACAATCTTCTGATGATGTCAGCTAAGAAGGCAGATCAGGTGCAGAGCCAGCACTAGCAGACTTAAATAAAGTTAAGATTTGACTATATTTAAGGGTGCATATAGTATAGTGTTCCTTCAAGGCTGACTGACATAGTATCTTTGAGACTATAAGAGGGCCTATAACCTCTGAGCAGAATGTTGGGTCTCAATCCCTACCACAAGCCCCCTAGTCATTTTATCGCATATACAAGGTGATGAGGAAGATGATCAACTGTTCCCAGAAACACAGAAGAAGAATTGACTGAAGCATCCATATGAAATCCATATCTTGAAATATTGGACCAATGTTCTTAAATACATGCATTTTCACAGTAGTCTCACTTGATATTTGACTAATGCCAAAGTAAGGATAAACATATTAATGAAAAGTTTCACAAAACTTAGGAAAGATATATCTGCATATATTTAATTAACAATTAAAATTAAACTTTCTACTCTATCTCAACCAATAAATCCGTATTTAAACTAACTATAAGTCAACTGTATCATCTAATGAGTTTAAATAGATCTCATGCATTATATCTGCTTAGAAAGATCAATCTCACAACAATGCGGGTGGTAGAAATGTTTCATAATGAGTCCATCAAGCAGAAACAAACAGCTCACACTGCTCCATACCTCTAGAACTAAATCAAAACCAACTCTCAATATTAATTCAACTGTAATAATGACTGTAATTTAAAATTAGGAGCAAGCTACTGATAATCATTCTTTTAGCAAGAAAAATATCCGTCAGAGTTAGACTCTTTTCAGCTGGGCTCATTAGGGAATTACTAGAATTCACAACCAATTTGAGATGAGCTGATAGCATGAATTATGGTGATGTTTTAGCATGGCGGAATGAAGGGATGGGGGAGGAGAATTATATAAAGTTATCATACATGAAAGCAGGGGAGTATATTTCAGAGAGAAAGAGAGGTTCTTAAATTTAATAAAAAGTAGAACTTTTACTTCTCAAGATTTTTAATATTATGTTTACTTTCTTCCCTATATTTAACAAATATGCATTTGTCAGGTGCTAAAATAAAATGAACTGTATCAATTTACATCTTTTTATTCTGCCATGGGGTGCTTCCATCTTGACCCCCTGTCAATCATTGTTATGAGCTCTGTCTCCTGTATCTGTTAGTCAGCATTTCAAAAATTAGAGGATTAATAAAACAATGGGGGATATGTATAAAAAAGTTTTGTGGTCTGAAAAGTGGTCAAACGTACTGCCTTTAGTTCTTTAGACCACTTTTCAGAAAAAAAAAGTATTTTTCGATACATGACCTGAAATGTTACTGTTTACGCCCCTTCATTTGCAATGTGTGCCCTGCCTGTGCCTGGACAGAACTGGATTGTGATGTAATTTGCTAAATAATCACTAAAACAGAGCAACACAAGAAAATAGGTTAATTACATTATAAGCTCCAAAACAACTTTAGCTTAAAGGAATTGTTTGGGTGTATTGCTCATGTTTATGTGGTCTAACTGTTCAATTCTATGCCATATAGGAGTTAGATCACTTTGTTTTTGCAACTTAGTCACATCTCCCCAGCATGTGACTTACACCGTCTAGCTACACATCACCCGTAAAGAAATATCTAATTTTTTTACTGCACAGTCTGTTTACTTTAGAAGGTATTATCTCATAATCTGTTAAGAGTCTGCTATAGACTGCAGGAGTCTTCTGTGTGTGATTAAGGTTCAATTAAATGATCAGGAAATTAAATCTTCTAAAGTAAACACACTGTGCTGTCATATCTGATTGAAAATGAAACAATTTTTACATGGAGTCTGTGTGAGTTGCAGCCAGGGGAGGTGTGACTATAGCTGGATAAACAGAAACCAAAGTGATTTAACTCCTAAATGGTTATGAATTGAGCAGTGAGACTTTAGGGACACCTACTATATGTGAGACGAACACCTTAAATATTGAAAAAAGACATGTTTAGTGCTTATAGGTAATCTAGTATGTTCTAGAAGAATAATCTTTAACAGTAAAACTTTGACATTAACAAGAATGAGTTTAGGATGGGACAGCCAGTGAGAAGAATTATCCTCTGAAAAATATATACTTTTAAAATAGTCTGCTATCATAAAGTGGTTTCCATTTTATTTTAGATAATTTTACTTGAAACCTCCACAGTTGTTGCCATATATACATACTGTATATTATTAGATTTCAGCCCAAACTGAAAATCATGTGAATTTGGGCCAATTGGATGATCGATCTAATTCCCGAACTCCAAATTGAGTTGTAGTTTAATCACAAACCAACTAAAACAAATAATGGCTGAGCGTGTTTGTTTTGATTTGTGATTCAGAATTTTGTCCGTGATGCCAAAAATAGTGACAAGTGATGGTAAAAAAAAGATGATTGATAGGGGACAATCACTAAGTGTTGATAATTTATTCACAGGACGTTTTGGACAGTGGTGTCACTTGTATTGTAATTTTCATAGAGCAGATATATAATTTGCATTATGAGTATATACTTCAAAGCACTATCACATTAATTGTTTAGTTTTGACACTGCATTTTTTTTTTGTTATTATGTTTATCGCATTCATTTTGCATTATATATATTCACAATGCTCTTACAGCGGATTATTATAATACACTTTTACTTATTTAGCACTATTAAATTTGTCTCCCATGTTGGAATTAGTGTAAGACCCACTGATAATGGGGTAGTGTGAAGTAGTGGTGGGCTTAACACAATATGGCGTTATGGTGGAACTGAATATTTGTTTAGATAGGTGATTTGAAGTATAAAATTAAAAAAATCTGTATTATGTATACATTTTGGTCATGGCAGCACCATTCATGCAAAATGCAAATTTCGGGTGTGCCCTCAATTCCCTTTTGTCTTTATTTTTTGTAATTTGATCTGTGAAACAAATGACTGGAAATGCATATATTTTACGGTACAAAGGATGTCTTATTTTCGAGTCCTTTTGTTTTGTCTGCTTAATTTTCCTTAATCAGTTTTTCGGTACCAGAATTCTGCCAGGCCGAACAAATATATGGCCGAAATTCAGGAGTTCCCTCCTTCCCACTGCAAAAATGTTTTAATTTCGGGAAGAATATTTTTTGCTGTGCACAAGTTTACTAATCATAAATTTTGGAGAAATGACAAGGGCACTCATATCTGCACCTGTTTCTTTTTGATATATATTTTGCACGACTGCAGACAGGACTCAAAAACTTAATGCGTTGTTTAATTTGTTTCTGTCTGTGAAATGTATTTTGTTGTATACCTTACTCATTATATATATATATATATATATATATATATATATATAGAACTATAGAACATGTTAGTGTAGATAATAAATTGGTAGTAAAACCCATTTTGGCTGAGAACGATCAAATATGCAGTCCACAAGAAAACAGAGAGCTGCGGGTTATCCAATCCTGATCTAAGTACTTATACTGGTAAACTAGACATGAACTACTTGGTCATTGTTTTTTCGCTGTAGTCAAAGGCTGCCTTTCTAGGTTCCTGACTCAATCTGGGTTACGATGTATCAGTTTCACTTAATCATAATAAATATAGATTTGACATCAGGCTTGAAAGCTGAGACGGAAGAATTGACGATGGATAGAAAACTGTTTGGTCCTCCTAGTCTGTACACGGCACAAATCTTTATCTGTGACATGGACTAAAAAAGTATTTTTGGCACAAAGAGAAATACAAATTCACTAGGTTTGTAGGTCACAAGGTTAGTCAGTGCAATAAACACAAGTCTTGTATTTCCTTGCAGAAGTGCACCACTCTTCATTGTATAGACTTACATTCTATCAAAGATAATCTGTACTA